TTTCGTGCCCGGGTCGCAGCAGCTTTGGCTCTGGTTTCAGCTCACTTTTTGTCTCTGTTAATGCGCACACCAGATGCAAGCTCGGCATGCCATTTTACTCTGTTCTCGATGAGTGGCCGTGGAGCAGTGAGTGCGCGGGGGAGGCAGCGACGCAGGAGGTGACTGTTGTGTAGGGCATGGGTATTTATGATGAAGTGGCTGTCCTCATTGTGAAATATGGTGCGTGTTACTCTTCCAGTGACTTCTCTTTCCTGCAAGATGGGTCGGGAAGCAGTTGGTTGACAGGTGCAAGTGCAACAATCATGTTGCACATTCAGTATAAAGTGGATTGTAACATTCAATCAGCCTGTGAGTCCCGTCTGATAATAAAATACAACATACCTTAGATGGAACAACATGATATGTTTTTTGAGTTGTGGAGGGTCGTCGCAAAATTGGCATACCCAAGGTTGAATGCAGTGAGTCACCTATAAGGAATGTGTCCAATGTGACGAATGCTGTTGTTGACTCTGCACCATCAGCAACTAGAATTTCCGCTATGTATCCAATCATATTCTCTTGGTCTCTCTATTATCAATTTCCTTGTCAGATCTATTTGATTGGATTAAAGGAATAACATACTAAAGGTATTGCAACCACCCAAGCACCCACTTTACATATGTCTCCAGATTGAGCTGTGACATACACTTCATCATTCCACAATGATGTTGGGGCCAGTCCTAGTTCAGCAATATTGTTGGATGAAAAGGCCAGCATTTCTGAGGCATGACATGTCTTGCGCTTGCTCTGAGGATACAATTTTACAGAACCTGGAGTGAAAGGCTTGTCAGGTGTCCAACCCAAGTGACGTTGAATAATAGGCTGCTGCTTGAGAAGCGACTGTACATCCTTGCCAGCTTGAACATGTGCTTGATGCTGCAACCAGTATCCACCACTGAGTATGTGCTTCACTCGATCTATATCAGCAAGTTTATGAGCAATATCATGGCTAGGAGCTGATGATTACTAAGAACTGAGCACATGCGAAAGATTGCATTAAAGCACTCGAAGATCTCAGTGGAGAAGCGTATTGCAGGTCCGAATTGTCGTATGTCGACCAAGATGTGTTTCAAGACATGTAGCTTGCCCTTAACAAGGATTCGAGCAGGATCTAGATCATCAAATGCATCCAGTGCATTGTCAATCAAGGTTCCTAGATCATGCTAAAAAAAATTAAATTCTGCAGATTGATGTGAAGATTCTACTCACAAGATATTACTCCATATTATCAATTTCTGGTATCCACAATACAGCACCAAGCTCTCCCAATGCTTTTGTAACCTTGAATTGAGCAGGTGTTGCAATGTCATGCACATGAAATGTTGCTGTCTGCGTAATGGTCTTGAAGTGCTTGCCAATAAGACCATTGCGGTACTGGATCATATATGATGCCCATATTGGTGGAATACTGAGACCCTGAATATCTGTGGCTTGAAGACGCATGATAAAGATATCTTGATTGGCCTCTGTCCATGAGGTGTGAAGAGAATGCCATGAATATTTGATGAGACCAAGTAATATAGTATGCAGGAGTTCCACTGGTGTATCTTGAGTAGGATCAAGGGCTAAAAAGAAGTTAGGCACACTCCAACTAAAATTCAACAATTAAACATACTTGAAATTGTTAAAAGAGGACTGAATGGCTGTGCAGTCTCTGACTTAAGCCATTCTGCAAGTTCATCTGAAATTGATTCAGATGAGCGACCTGGTTTTGTAGCTTTGATTTCACGAGCCTTCTTAATAAGCTGCTCAATCCAATGTTGTGCAATTTTGTCTTTAACTCCAGTGGCAGTTTGATGATCAGCAACCTTCTGTGCAACTCCAAGTGCAGCAAGTTTCAGTTGCTCAATTACTGCCTCTCTAGTTTCCGTAACATTTCGTAATTCACTAGGCTTTATAAAAATTAAAAATAAGCAACAATAACACGTTGCCCAAATAATGCTTACCTCATGCAAGGCATGATAGCCTTCATCTGACTCTTGAACCTCATGAGAACCTCCAGTTTTACATTGTCGACACTTGCAGTTGGCATTCATTCCAATATGTGATGCTTCTTTAGCCTGCTACGGATTATCTGCAGGTAATGCTGGTACAATTAACCTGACTCATGCATGTCGATTAGTAGTCACATTATAACACCAAACTGGTTTTTTTTGACTCTCCCTGAGAAGCATAAATTAGCATATATTGATAATAAGTCAATGTAGACATACTGCACAAGAGGCATTATAGCTTCAAATTGTTCTGGTGCAGAGGCATGTGGTGACGTAGACACAAATTTGACAAAATACTCCTATTGAAGTAGACGACCAGGAAGATTTGAATTGACCATGTAGACATTCACATGCTTTTGATATTGCTTAGATCGGGCACCAGAAACATCATTTGCCCACAGCGGAATAAAGACTGTTATTAAGTCTTCATCCTTTGCGAGTTGTCGTAGTGGATTTGGCATGTTACTAGCATAGGTGTGGCATGACTCTATGAATTTACATAAGTGAACAGTGCTTTATGAAAAAAAAATCCACTCACCAATAAATGAGATAGGACCTCTGCTTAGTATGTCAAAATAATTGTAGCAAAATGCTGTGAGTGGAATACTGATAACTTCAGATGTTTCATCAACATGATGTTTCTGTGTTAAAGTCAAAGAAAGTATAAGCATTCAGTAATCTCAATAAGAACAGCAACATACCTTATCAGGCATTATGTGCACTCAACGACAATCTGCATGAAGCTCTCCATGTCACCGCATCCAAATAATTGGGATTACAAGTCGACCATCTTGTAGTTCATTTAATTCATTAACATAGAACTGCTTAGAACCTGATGTCGAGCATGCAGTGGGCGTCAGTAGATCCAGAGGGACCTCTTTCCAATGCTCAGCCTGCCATGTTTCTGAAACTGGACCATCTGTGATCTCTGGCCAGATATTGATGTAAGGCGCCACTTCTGGATTGGCAAAGTCCTGCAGTTACAATTACTCCATAAATATACAATAATAATAAAGGATGGCAGGACGTACCATACTAATAATATCCCTGGGATTGACATAAAAATGATTTCCCAATGATGACTTCTGCGGTAAAGGTGTAACACCGCACAGAGAGCGAAGATGATTTTGCATCTGACGAAATGCCTTGAAAGAGGGGACATTCTTGGCACCAACCTGTCACATAATCCAAAGGATCATCTTAAGCTGACTGCTAGATAAACGCAATCGTGGAAGATTATCCAGGACATCAAGTAGAAACATCTGTTAGAAAGGCACATGGTCAGGGCCTTCTTAGTTGTTGAGATCAGTTAGATATAAATGCACCATTTTGTTCCCATATGGTGCAAAATCATGCTCCACTGGTACCCCTGTAAACTGTTCATGTATGTCTTCTTCATCTCCTTTTTCCCCATCTATACCTATTAGGATTTTTGTGAGATTTAGCAGTACATCAGTATGATCTGGACCCTACCCAAAGATTGAAACTCCTGAACCACATTTGAAACTGTCGCATCCTCTCCAAATGCACCAAGTTCCTCTTCTTGCCTGTAATGCAAGAATTCACATTCTTGGCGCAATAGCTCTTGAGATTTCAGGTGGGCATTATCATCTACCCCAGGAAAATATGCATCTAACTCCTCCGCAGTGAACATTGGCGTGTCGGAGTCGTGTATAGAAATCCCATCTATATCCTCTTGCAAAATAACCTTGCTGTCGATCTTCGCAGATGAGTTCAGGTACGATGCTGCAGACTGGAGCTTTAAAGATCCTGCTTGGAGGTATGGGTGCTCAAGATTTTCTCGAGTACGTTCTGCACGTGCTCGCTCTTCATTCTGATGTGCCACATTTGCTGCATGAGCTGCTGAATTAAGGTGTTGTCTGAGGGATTTGCGACCTATCCAGGTTCCATACCCAGATAAGTCAGCCTGTTTGCATATATAACAGCGAACTTTGTTGGTCAATGTCTGTAAACCAATGTAAGTGCCAAAATGTATTAATGTATCTAATAATCATGCTTACAGTCTGGCAGGTCTTGTGGTTTTTGTCCAGGCATACTGAAGTTTTGAGAAGCAGAGGAATGTTCAAGTCGTAGAAGAGTTATGTGGCAGTCAATGAGCAGTCGGTGGCAATGGCCACGACGAACAGTTACAGTGACATCACAGTGTCACATGTTGCCAAATTGGCCTAAGTTTAGCAGATCCGCGCCGCGTGATTTTGACTTGTTCACTTTCTCCCATCCACCCGCCATCTTCGAGCCATGTCTGCAGACATTCCCATTGACCCCGTGCTTTTGCAACAATCTGAGCACTTGGACACCGAGACTCCTGAGCATTCTGTTCTTGACTTCATCTCTCAAATCCAAGTGACTGCCTCCGAACTTCGCACCACTCCCAGCTGTTCATCTTCAAGTGGCCCAGAACCTGACGAAGATTAACATGTCAACTTGGACTCTTCGCACGCCCAGCATGGCGTCTGTCGAACGCGTGCAGAGTTTGAGGGCGAAGATTGCGGCAACCACATCGACGCTGTTGAGTTTGGCCAGCGCTTGAAATGACAGCGCAATCTGACACCTGACTCCGAGTCGGAACTGGCTCGATTCACAGAGGTAATTTTGTTACTCTTCCTCGTGCAGTCTTGTTGACATGATCCCTTATAGGCCACGCGTCTCATACAACACACCATCTTCACGTACACATTGCTGTTGGAGTGTCGTGACCACCTTTCGAGGTTGTCTCAGGATAGTGAGTACAAGGTTCCGGGCACCTTAAGGGTGCGCAATCCACCATTTTCATATTCCGGGTTTAACTCACAAGAATCCTGCCCAGGTCACCCTACTTGACTATGCACATTCCTACATACTGTCCCCAAGTATAATCTCATATCACAGTGCATCTAACCCCGCCAATATCCTGGTAAGTCACACTTCTGTGCATCTTGTCTGTGGTCTAATGTTCTGCAGGGTGCAATGCGGCGACTGAACATTTCGCAGCTGCCGCCCGATCAGGAAACCGGTCGCTGTGGTATTATCCGAACAGTTCTCGGCAAGGGTCTCACGGAGTGGCGCAACCATGTAAAGACTCAGGTGCGTCTCATTTACTGATTTTGCATCACATCACATTCACTGGCACTGTGGCGCATTACAGATTACCATGTCCATCAAGTCCGATTCCATCTGCAACATCACCGCACTCACCCACACGTGCATCAAGACTTGTAGTGCACGCCCGACGATGGCGCTGTACATCAGGCTCACATACATTATAAGACACCTATCCAGTTCGGTGTGCCATTATCTAATACATTATAAGTTACCTATCCAGTTCGGTGTGCCATTATCTAATCCATATTGCTCGAAAGCGGTTCATTCTCGTCAAGTTCTCGGGTCTCAAAGAGGACGAATTCTGGACTAAGGTGGATTCGTCGACGAAAGAAATTCGCAAGAAATGCAAGACGCTGGGCGCAATCCGCGAGTAAGTTCTCCACTTCTCACGATTTGTCACAGTGCTCACATTCTGATGCAGTGCTTACCAGGCGGTCTACAACAACGACAGGATCACATATGGAGAGCCCGACAATTCGACATATCCGCTCACTGCGGCCAGCGCGCTGCCTGTGTTCGTTCAAGACCTCAACACCGCTTTGGAGAGCCGAGTGCAGGATTGATGGTGGCGGCACTTCGCCCAAGGTATTCCGTCACCTCAAATAAAGATCACGTGCCAACGTTGACTCGAGCTTCCGGTCAATTGACTGTTGCTCATTCGGAAACTCGAAGGTCGACAGAACCTTTCCTATTGAATTCTCAATCCCAGCTTCTTGATCACTCGGACAGATAGGGCACAACCTCAAATTATCATTCTTTATTTTCCGTGATGTAATGTTCAAGGAGAGTATGTCGCCTTATCTCCAGTGTTAGACTATGTCTATCGGCCCAAAAAGTATGAATCTGTAAGCTTATATGACTGGATTTGTCGCTCTAAGAAAGAACAATATCCAGGAAGAAAGATACCCGACCTGCCAATTTAAATGCCTTTGATACAGTGACTATAGAACCTGACATTAATGAAGATGCCAGTGAAACTGATTTTGAAAATAACTATGCAGTTGACGACGAGTTTCTTGAGATTCCTGAGGTTAATAATGCAGCATTTAAAGAGGAAGAGGAAGAGGAAGATGTCACTTACAATGAACAGATCTCCAATATGATGACGGAGGAGGAAGAAAGTGAAGATGAACTTCTGCTGACCACAAAGTCTGCAAAGAAGGCAGCAGCGCAAGAAGAGAAGGATCATCTGACCTTGGAATTAAAACCCGGTTACTTTACTGTAGAACATCCTCAGAAAGCAACTCACCAGGTACGACTGCTGGCTGAAGCAGACAGTCTGGTACCCAACTTTGTAGGTGGATTATTGCCTAGATGTGACACCGGTGATCGTGAAGAATACTACCTGACAATGCTTAGTTTGTTCAAACCTTGGCATACTGGGCTTGACCTTAAGCTTGATGCAAATACATCCTGGCACAATACCTTTGACGAGTATAAATTTACACCCAGACAGTTAGAGCTCATGAAATTCTTCCATATACGCTATGAGTGCAATGATGCTAGAGATGATTTTGCTGCTGCACATAAGGCAGGCAAGTTCCATGGACAAATGCCCTTTGGTATGGATGACAATGCAATGAATGAACTTGATATCCAATATCAAGAAGACGAAGCCACAGCAGGTGTAAGTAATGATCTCGACTTGATGCCTGAATCAGATGACTGGGATCAAGTGGGTGAGAAGATGCTGATCAGAATCAGCAGTATGCTGCAAGCTGAAAGAATTATGCAAACATCTGGATGGCTGGACAATATATCTAGGATACAGGTCTGGACACTTTGAATCTTCCTACTGAGACTATTACAGGTCAAGATAAAACAGCAGTGGAATGGAAAAACTTACTTGCTGAGAAGCGACAGGAGATCCTTCGTACACGAGAGGAGCAGGCAGTAGATAACAATTCAGATGAAGTAGATCCCAAGACGGGACTGCATATCAGCAAGGATGTGAACACAGTGAAGGTAATTGATCAGTCTTATCTGAATAAGAATTTTGAGGCAAAGAACAAAGCAGATCAAACCCTGATTGATGATACTGTCAAAAACTTTAGTCTCAATACTGACCAAGAGTGTGCCTTACGAATCATAGCAAACCATGCAACTGATCCCAGTGGTGAGCAACTGAAGATGTACTTGGGTGGAATGGCAGGTACAGGAAAATCTCAAGTTATTAAGGCCCTGATTCATTTCTTTGGTGAGCGAAAGGAAGGCTATCGGTTTATGTGTGTTGCACCTACAGGCTCTGCTGCTGCTCTCATTGCAGGCTCCACCTATCATTCTATGCTTGGTTTCAGCAAGTTTGGTGACTCTCAGACTTCCTTGATGCAAGTACGTGCACGACTGCTCAATGTTGACTATATATTTGTGGATGAGGTGTCTATGGTAGACTGCAACAGCATGTATAATATATGTGCAAAAATGAGCACTGCTCTCAAGAATGAAGGTATACCCTTTGGAGGAATTAATATGATATTTGCTGGTGATTTTGCACAGCTTCCACCGGCTGGACCTACCTTTTCTTTATATTCACATAAGGTTGGAATGCATGACCTTAGTAATGTACATACAACCAATGGATACCATCTCCAAGAAGCCACACTAGGCAAGGCACTCTGGCATCAAGTTACTACAGTAGTAATTCTGCGTGAGAACATGAGACAGCGCTTACAAAATCCAAATGATGCCAAATTGTGTAAGGCCTTAGAGAACCTTTGCTTTAAATCCTGTACTATGGCAGACATTAAACATATTGAATCCAGAATTGCCGGTCGTGCAGCAGACAAGCCCAAATTGAACCAACCAAGATTTAGAAATGTGTCTGTGATCACAGCATGGAATACTCACCGAGATAAAATCAATGAACTTGGATATGCACGATTTGCTCAAGAGACTAAGCAGGAGTTGAAGACATTCTATTCTGTAGACAAATGGTCAGATACACCAGATGACAAACCAAATCGCAAACAGAAGGTGGTCAATCCACAACGGAAGTCTAACAAGATTGAGCCAGGAATTCAAGCAAGACTATGGGAACTGCCTCATGCTAGTACAAATCATCACCCAGGGAAACTCACCATTTGTCTTGGTCTACCTGTAATGATTAAAACAAATGAGGCCACAGAATGCTGTGTAACTAATGGTGCAGAAGGTATAGTTGTTGGTTGGAAGTCAAAGCCACTTGAAAATAATAAATATGCCTTAGAGACACTGTTTATCAAACTCACTGCACCTCCAACACCCGTTCAGCTAGATGGATTGCCTGAGAATGCTGTACCTATTAGTCAGCAGGGTATCAAAGTGAAGTGTAATATGCAAAATGATAAACTTCTAACCATTATGCGATATCAAGTTCCTGTGATCCCTAACTTTGCAATGACAGACTTTGGATCAGGGTCGTACTCGTCCAGACAATGTCTGTGACTTACAGAACTGTCGATCTCACCAGTCTGTTTACACTTGTCTATCTCGTGGATCTACATATGAGGGCACTATAATTGTGCAGGGATTTGATCATAAAAAGATGACAGGTGGTCTAACTGGTCATCTGAGGCAAGAATTCATGATCATAAAAAGATGACAGGTGGTCTAACTGGTTATCTGAGGCAAGAATTCAGAGAGCTTGAGATTACCAAGTTGCGGTATCACAAGAAGTTGGCCAGTGAAGTGGAGGGCAATACTCGCAATCAACTGATATATTCCTTCCGATCATATAAAGGACCAGAGCATGTACCTAAAGGCATACATTCTGAGCTCAAATGGTCACAGGAGAAGCCATTTAAACTTGAGGAAGTTGAAGAAGAGAGCGACTGGCAGTTATTGAAGAAACCTAAGAAGGGAGCCAAAAAGACAGTGAATGACATAGACGTACAGATGGAAGAACCCAAGATCTCGCAGGTAAAGAAGGATATTAGCAAGTTTGTTTCTGCACAAGGCACTAAACAGTTGACAACTGTCAGCAATGATCCAGGACAGAAGCGCGGTGCAAAGCGAAAGCATCTTGAGGAAATCAATGCAATTTTGCCTGAGCAAAAGAGACATAAAACTCAGAATGACCCTGTTGATCTTGCTGTGAATGGTCCAATTGGATTTAAATGGAACAAAGACACTTACAGCTGCGCATATGATAGCCTGTTTGGTATTTTATTTCATCTATTCTCTACAGAGACTGAGCATTGGATGGCAGATATATGCATGCAAAATCAATATCTGGAGCACTTTACCGCTGTATTCAGCCAAGTGTTACAACAGAGACTTACAATGGAACAAGCAAGAGACCATATGTGAGTAATACTCCATCAGGTTGATCCTGTTGCACTTCCAATCACTGGTACTGCAGGCTCAGATCTCATAAAGCTGTGTACCACCATGCTTGGCTGTGATGAAGACCATATAACTCGAACCCTTGTCTGCAAGCATTGTGAGTATCAACATGAATCAGAATCTGACAATACAATGTTATGGGACTGCACCAAGGCTATCTGGAAAGAATCAGGACTGAAAATGGGAAGCTCTAAGTGGTGCAAGTTGTCGGACTGGTTCTCTTGTTTGACAGAAAGACATCAGTGCGATGTCTGCAATGTGGAAAGAAGATGTACATGCAAGTAAACTTTGCACAGAATCCAAATTTTGTTGTCTTCTCTACCAATGAAGTGAAAGTTGAGTGCAATCCCAAGCTGTACATTGGTGAAGATGATCATGAATATCGACTTTGTGAAATGATATACTTCGGTGGATTTCACTTTACATCTCGGATTGTAATGGCAGACAAGCAAATATGGTATAATGATGGTATTAGCACCGGTACTTACTCCAAATTTGAGTGCTCTTTGGATGACATGACAGCAAATGTATTGGCAGAAGTTGAGAACAGAAGGTGTAGCATTGTAATATATTGTAAGATGTAGACAGAATTTACTATTCAAGAATTGCTTAGAAATTGGGTAGAGGAAAGCAGGAACACAGGAACATCAGACCTCAGGAATCATTCATACCATGTGAAGCAGTGGCCCACTCCCAACAAGTAAGAGAAAGGCAGGAACACAGAACCTCAGGAATCGTTCCTGCCATGCAAAGCAAGGGCTCACTCCCCACAAGGCTGTCCCTCAGAATTTGGTAGAAGGCTCACACTCTACATGTGGACATGCCAGACAATGTGAACAAGGCCCTCACATTAAATGCATGGGCTCTGTTCACCCTCGTTGTCTCCCAATGCAATACTTACCACTGGACACAGCCAGTTGAAAGATTACTTATGATGTTATCCTACAGTGTAGACTATTTGATTGTAGTATAGACAGCACTGCAGCCCAAGGCACATGTGCACACCACCAGTTCCCAGAAAATGTAAGGTTACAAAGTTCCCAGAAAATGTAAGATTACAACGGATGGTCCACAGAAGTCACGAAGTACGTGTAGCTAATGGTAATGGTGGCCAAGTTCATGGAGAGAGTGTGTCCCGACTGGGGGCAAAGGTGGTGGAAGCTGAGAGAATTCCTTACACTACACACCTCCCACGTTCCTCCACCTATGATGACCAACATGGGCCCTCATTGAATGAGTC